TAGAACTGAATTGATAAAAGTACACTTGTCTGAGCAATACTTGCCACAGAGTGGGATCCGGTGAAAGCAAGATGTAAGGGACCCTGAAAAAGAAAGACAAGATAAGATTACTCACATCCTCCATATAATCTAGCAAATGTTGTTAAAATGGCCATGGGGGGTAGTGTAAAATCCCCAGAAGAAAAACTGGCAGATCATATAAAGAATGTGAGAGGAAAGCATTAGGAGAAATCCACATTCAGGCCCGTAAAGTCTCCCCCAGTGGATGACATAATCAATGAAAGACATAAATATGCTGATGACATGTAATTCTCAGAAGATTTCTCGCCTGTAAAATCCAGAATATGCAACCTGGAAATTTCCCAAACCACCTCGAAAGGAAATGGAGATAAATCTTTGGAAACCAATGAATATAGAGATGAGAACTATCACCACGAAAATAGTTAGAGTGAGTCAAATAACACCTCTGGGCCTGACAGGACAAAACAAATGATCAGTATATGATCGATTGTAGAGGTGAGATATAGTTGGCAAAAGAATTGTAGAGAGGGATGTATCCCCTTCCCTGGTGACCAGAGACTTAGAAAGAAAGGACCTATCAGGGTATAGAAGGACCTAAAGGGAGAGATAAAGAGTCCTACAAACATGCCAACAACTCCAACCAATGACATCAGCATGTCAGCAACAACAAAAATACCCATTAAGAGAGAGGTGATACACAGTATATGAGGCTAAATGCTTGAATGGTTGTCGAGACAAGGCATGTAGTACCACCTTAATATCTTAAGTAATGGAAAAAGGCCATTTGGTAAGAAGGCTGGATAGCACTGGGGAGTCCAAAACCTTCAGATATTTAGGATAACTAAAAGGTTATGAAAAAGTTGTCTGACCTAAACGACAGGAGATGAAGCTAAACCGGAGAAAAAAACAGGTCAAAACAAGATATGGTGAACATGTTTGGTAAAGTGGGTACAAACTTCTTATGAGGCACACCCCAGACAATTGTAGATGCTAAACCCCAATGAGCTGGGAAAAGTCTTAGTGTAGAATGTGAGGTTGAGGGTACCTCAATAAAGATAGCCAAAGAGGAAGATGCAGAGGTGGATTCAAACGAAGAAACTGTAGAAGAGGAAATCATGGCTAGGCTGGCTAATCTAGGCTAGCAAGATCTCATAAGTAGAGGATTGAAATATAATCAGAACTCTGAGTAACAGATGAAGTGAGGGAAAGTCATAGATAAGCAATCCCATCCAAGAAGGGCTGAATGCATCTACCATCCCAGCCTGAGGATGAGGTAGTGGAGACTCCAAAGCTTGTAATTGATTATCAATGAGTGGCAAAAGCTATCACCGGATGCCCAAACTGAGAACAAATCTATTGCAAAACCACACAACAGAGAATCCATTTGGTCAGGAGAAAATGAGGACTAAGACTGACAATCTGCTATGTAATCCATCACCCCAGGATAAAGGCAAGCCAGGAGGCTGATATGATTGGAATAGGCCCCATAGAGAAAGGACCAAATTTAAGAGACCACTGGAATTGATTAAATGTCTCAGGTTATTTCCCTGCAAGAGATCTAGCCTATTTGACAGCAAAAAGTTTGAAACTATTGATGCCGAATGAAGATTCGTCCTCCATTTATACACCCTGGAATTCCTGACCATGAAGATGCAAACCTCATACCTCCCCAAAGTGAAGTATCTGTGAAAAGATAAAGTATGGACAGAGGGGCAGTATACCCACATGCATGTGTGCACACACACAAACATACAGATACCCATACATACATACACACACATGCTAATGATAGAGTTGATCTAAATCAAACAGCACTCAAAAACTAAGATGTTGCCCCTGATGAAAGGGACTGAAAAATCTAGTGGACTGAAGTTTCAGATCCATTAGTTGCAATAAGACCACTGAAGGGATAGCATGTGTCCTCGTTCCAAAAAGCAAGAGATTTTAGGGAAGCCCACAACCCCTGAGGTAAAACCATCTCTGTAAGTAAGAGCTTGACTGCTCGTTACATAGCCTGGAGCTGGATGGGAGGTGGCTGAGCCAGGTGTAAAACATGGTAAAGACTTGTACAACCCAGCAGAAGACATATAGTGCTGATGCTAAACTAAAGGCTAGATCCTTAACTGCATAACTTAATCCCTGTATACAAAACAAAGCTAAAGGCTGAATAAATTCACTATGAAAATGTGGAGAAATGCCTCAGCAACCTCCAACTTGGGAATACACAGACCTGATGAAGAATGCCAATGTAGGGTGAGGAAGAACTCCATTGTGGACTGGGAAGGTATGAAAAATGGGTTGAGATGAGAAAAAATAATGATTATCTGCAAATCCCCTCCCCCCTTCTCTCAGGTACAAAGAAACAGGAATAAAATCCTGGAAAAATGAGATCAACTGTCACCACCACCCATGTGATCAGTAACTCTGATCAGGTGGAGGTGGAAATATCACAGGGTGAGAGGATAATGGAGTATTGAATGGAAAGACCAACCTAGATACCAGAACCCGACGTACCCATGGATCTGCAATGAAAGAATACCAGAAATCCTTCAATAGTTGTAACCTCGCTGTAACTACCCCCCACCCCACCTAGGTAGATACCAATGCCATTGGCATCAGTCGACCCAAATGAAGTGGCCCTAAAACTAAGATCTGTGTCTATTCAGCTACTAGAGCCAAAGAAGGTTGAGAGGTCAACAACAACAAAAAGCAAATGGGTGACAGCAATTCACAATACAAATGCTTCTGGGACACCCGTGAGCATCAAGTGACAATAAAAAGAAGCCACATGTAACACCCAGAGGCTACAGCAGGTAAACAAAGTTCCATCACCAAAGTACCTCTACAGAAGAAACAAAAGCAGTCAATCTGACCAAGGTAAAAGTCAGTAGGAGACCCAATCCGTCCACAAATGGAGACCATTGATAATTTGCCAACAATTTGCGTGGGAAGAAACATCACAAAGATATCCTGAGGAGCAAACAAATACAAAAAATGTGATTGGTTTAAAGAGATCACATGAACCAGCCTGGAACCCCACATATCCAAAATTAAATGATGTTATTCTGAGGAATTGAAAAAAAAACTTTCACCTGGAGGTGGAAAGCCAAAGCATGCCCACAAACAAACAAGGGTACAAGGTATATCTAACCCATCATGTAATAAAGCAGTAAATCTCCCAACATAAACCAGAAATATCAGGTGATAAAGGAAAAACTAACTAGTCCCCCTCCCAACTATTCCACCATCAAGGGAGGAGTAGACTCAAAGGTCACAGAGAAAAGCCCCAAAATCTCATAATCCCAAATGACTAATTAAAGAAAAGGCATAGGAGGTGGGTGATCCAAACTGGACTCGTGAGAAGCTAACTTAGGAATAATAAGCATCAGAAAAACAACGTCCAAATTCTCCCCAGAAAAACCAGGATCAACAAAAACCAATGCCGGAGGCCCCAGGAGAAAATGCCCCAGAGCTGAATGTATGTCTCCATCTCCCAATCAAAACATGGACAGCCCCAACAGAAAGTGACTCCACTCACCCCTGAACATAGAGAGAAGCTAAATAACAAAGGAGGAGTATGGGAGGTTGGATTAACTCCCTTGCTAACAATGGTAATATGCGAATTTTTATCTGCAAACATCACACCCATTGTTTTAAGTTTTTTTTCAAGAAATTATAATTATATGGAAATTCGCAAAGTGAAGTAAAAATGGCAATCCATAGTGGAAGGAACCACAACACTTCATCAGAAAAAACCGTGACCAATGCACTGTCTAGAATGAGGTGCTAATATACAGTGTCAGGGTAGAGGGTGCATTGACGTGGGTGGAGGAATTTGCAAGTTAGATATTACCAAAGGCATTTAAGTGGGGTATAAAACACTGGATCACCCAAGACCAATGCTTAGATAGGCAAAGCCAATGTCACAGAATAGCTAAAGTAGCAGTGGAAGGTATGTTTTGGAATTGATATTTTCAAACAGTTTACTTATCATTAAACTTTCCCAAAATCTTCTATAATATTTCCAGGCATGGAAATGACATTCAGAAATTTAAAAACTTTTCAAGGATTTCCAGAATCGCAGAAATTCTAATTATCACTTTTTCAGTGTGCTTCTAGAAAAAAAGTTCTAACTGATCTGCATTATCTTCTTCATAATTTTAGCTTTAAAACAAACTGGCTTAGAACTGAAAACTTGCACGAATGAAAAAAAAAATCATATTGAACAATAGTATTTCTTTTACTATTGTATTAACATAATATCTTGGGACAACATGGGACCTATTGGTCCATCTTGGCTGTTTCATCCTCTAAACTAAATTAAAATATATATAAATCTTAAAGCCAACCATTATCATCCATATGCTTATCAAGCCTTTTCTTAAACTCACTTAAATTTACTGCCTTCACAACACCCCAAGGCAACCCATTCCAAAGACCAACCACCCTAATTATAGAATTTTGGCACTTGTGTATAAAGTTAAAATCATAAATAATATTCAACGTTAAACTGGTACACAATTAAAAACATTTTATTTAGGCCTATCTATGGCCTTCAAAAAGTTGATAACTCTACATGTTTCGACATTACAACGTCATCCTCAGGAAGAACTGAAGAACTGAAACCAATGTTTAAAGAAAAATTATACCTAACCAGTGCCATTTCCATACTGATATCAAAAATTACTTTGGTCAAATGAATGACCATAAACACTGCATTAAAAGGGAAAAAAAAGTACTTTTAACTGAGTGCCATCTCATCTCATGCACCATTCCAGTGTCAATGGACAACTTCTCAAATATTAAAACAGCAAAGTTCAATCAGCACTTCAAATATATGAAAGAACAAAAAAGAAAAAGTAACTGTTTACAAGAGAAAAAATGACTAACAAATCAGTAACAAGTCAGAAATAAACATCCTATCAAATTATGGAATGACACACTTTTGAAAACTTATACATAAATCAACAATAACTTACCAATAGGAAGTGCTGTTTCTTCAAGCATTCTCACATCAGAACAATCTAGCTCAGCCAACTGAAGCAGAGAAATCATTAGTCTTTCTAAGTGGGGTAAGGACTGCAGTAGGTGGCACACAGACGGACCTTCAACATGAGTTAGAACAATAATATTACGTGATAAGTTATTTAAATTTGAAAAATATCAGTTAGAAAAGTGTATCAAGCAATATTATATTTACATGTAAAATATAAACATGTTTTGTTATCAGATTTCCAACCAATTAAAATTCCTATTACTGACAGAATAAACTTACTGTTAAAAATTGTTTCATCACAAAAAGTTCAAGTAAAAAATATTATAAACAACTAACTGCTCATTTGGTTCAAACCTTCTCACCAGGCTACACAAGGACTACCTGTATGAAGTTGTTCCTAAGTTTTACCTGAAAGACTGGAAGAAAAGCAGGTCAACATTACTCTCGGCCAACTCTTGAACAACACTCGTCTGATTGATTAGTTGGATTTTAGCATCACTCGTATACAGCCCGTAACTGAAGATCATGTTCTTGTTGCAACAGGTTACAAACCACAAATCCACTGACTCACAATCCAGGCATGCTAAACAGTAAGCCATTCTCAACTCCCTCCCCCCTCCTCAAACACAACTTTCAAAAAATTTTCAGTGAATCATAGTCAGGACAGAAATTTAATAAACTCATCTCCTATGTAACAAGAAACTGCCTTGAACATATTTTATCAAATATCTTCATAGAACCATACATTATCATTTTTCTAAACTGAAAATGTATTTCCAAACATACTTACCTCCATTGACACTAATAGCTATTTCTCGATCTTCATCTTTGCCATCTAACGTTGTGTTCCAGTCTTTATATACCCCACTTGACTGCCCTCAGCAATATCTAATTTGTCAAACTTTACGCCGGCCCTCACACACCCTCTATGTAAGCACTGTATATAAGCACTGTATGCAGACAATGGAATCACTTTTTCAAGACTTACCACAATCTAGTCACTTACACCGGCTCTTAGTGGGGAGGGAGAGTGTCAGTGGAGGTAAGTATGTTTGGAAATACATTTTCAGTTTAGGAAAATGATAACTTCCAAAACATACATACCTCTGCAGACACTAATAGCTAGAATCCCACACTGAGAAGGCAGAGGAGCCGGTGAGGACAGAGGTCATACAGAAACTGTCTGCAGAGAACAAATATGTACCCCAAGAAGAGGTATCAAAGTGGGGAACACCACACTACATCCAGAACAGAACTACAGAAAATTGAACAGAGTGGAATATAATACAAGTATGATGGTCCAGCCCCAACCAAACAGCTGAGGTTCCACAACTCAGGTTCGATTTAAGAGGTCATGGTACCTATATCCCACATTGGTGGCCAGAGTAGGTGGACTGCAGATATACATACCTTTGTGATAGGATCGCTACCAGTAACCACAGGATGATGCATTTCGAACCACCGGATTTATGAAAGAAAGAAAGCAACACCAAAGTGGACAATCCTTCTGATCAACCTGAAGAAGTCCAAAAGGCAACATCCCAGGTCTGGATTGATGGGATCATATGCCATACACCACCAAAGTCCAGAACTCATCCAGTCTGGATTTACAAACAGTTGTCTTTACTCCCCCTCCAAGTGGGCAAGGAGAATTCAGCTTACCCATGGAACTAAGAAGAGGATGCGGACCACTGTCCCACCAAGGACCAAAGATGGGACCATGTCGCGTTCAGATTTACGAGGAAATAATGGACCCCTGCATGAACAACATAAGACCTGACAGTGTTCATAAGAGAGTCCAAGCACACCCCCACCAGATAGCAAAGCATCAAATCTGGACTTGTTTTACGAGTAGGCTCTCATGTAGATTGGTCCTGCTCCTCCTGACATCAGGGAAAAAACATCCAGAGACCCAGGTAGGAGGGTTTCCAACTTCACCCTCTTCTCTGAGAGAGGAGAAAACTCAACACTCCAAAGGTAAATCCTCTGTCCACCACCCGAGCAACTAAAAACTGGGTATGGTAAGGACTTCCGAGCTCCACTAATAGAAGTAAGGGAGAAAACATAAGCATTGGGGAGCCCTGAGGAACAGGTCTCCGGAGACAGTGCAACAGGTAAAACTGATCTTGACTGATTTAGCTCTAAGATCAACAGGAAATGGCAAAATCCCCTTTACCTTTACTCATGATAGACCATGAGTAGCAGTCCATTAGAAATATTGTAATATGATATCACCACTCAGAATTGCATCCAGATGGTCTTACGGAACACCTCATCTCAACAGAGCCCATTGCAACCAAGAACCGACATAAAGGTTGCTAGTGCGGAGTTTAAATACAAGCATACCCAACTGGGCAACACTCGCCACTGAATGGGATCCAAAAATAAATCAGTAGGGACCCTAGAAGAGAAAGGAACAATTACTGTAAGTCAGATAACACGTTACTCACCACCCTGTTAAAATCCAGTAAAGGTAGTCAACACAGCCACAGGTAGAAGACAAAGTCCCTTCAAAGAGGAAACTGCCAGATCATGAAGGTAATGAGATATGAACGTGTCGGGAGAGGTCCACAAACCAGCCCGCAAAATATTTCCCGAGAATAAGGACAGAAACGATTAAGAGAACTAATGGAACGAGTAGTGGAAGGAGGGGGCCTTGAGACACGAAGGTATGAACCTGCAGAAACAGCTATTAGTGTCAGCCAAGGTATGTATGTTTTGGAATTTAATGTATTCAGGGCATATATAACTCTTTCACTGTCAAACTTGGAGATAAACAACTCTCATAGTGGTTAAGCCTATTTTTAAATAAAAGCAAAGGGACACTTGTTTTAAATTTCATTACCTAACTGGTAAACTTTGGAAAGTAGTAAAATTTCCAACTTCTCATAGTAGCACTGGAGAGGGGGCATATATTTATGCCAATGGCAATGAAAATCAGTTTATTGTACAGCAAAAAAAACCAAAAAAACCTTTAAACAAACTTTGATTATTAAAGTTTTTGTGTTGGATTCTAGAACTTACTACACTAAATATTAGTAATTATTATACTATTTTTGTATCTCCAATAAACATAATTTTACTCTCAAAAAATTATAAACCATCTATTAACCACAAATTAATCTATTTGAAAATAACTTTATCGTACCAAATATAAGACTAACAGTTAAAAACAGCAACATGAGTAGAACATCTTATAAAAATGCTCTGACAATCAGAAGAAAGGGGAAGAATGAAAACAGAACTTTAGGAAAATTTTAAAAAGATGCAACAATGAACCCAAAAGAAAAGTATGACCAAAAACTAAGAACATGATTGGAAAGGAAAGATTACAAACAACAAACAAAAGATAATGAAAGAATGGGACCAAAATATTAGATATATTATAAAAGCAAGAAAATTGTGGAACAGTATGAAAAAATATGGAAAACTCAAAACAATTATAGGGCTCAAAAGTTTCAAAACCTCTGAAAGTTCTTAAGTTCTAGTCCAGAAGAAAGTCAAGTTCAGGATTGCAAATGAAAGTTATTCTATGCAACATAATATATGGCTTACAGATTTACAAGAGGAGAACATCTTATGTATAAATTAATAAAACATAAATGTTGGGGGTTATGATCAACCAGCTTCAGAATATATGATAGACTCTATTGCAATGTGTCAGTTTCAACATCTGAAAATGAATTTTTAATTACGTTACACATCTGTGATAGTGTAAGACTAATATATAGACATGTACACATCAAATGTAAATTTCAAATTAGACCTAAAACAATGTTTAGTTAGGATGCAACAGAAAACTTTCTACAAGGAAAATTAAGACTGTATAATAGCATATTCAACTAATGAAGACATTTAGCAAACTCAAAAAAGCAAAAAAAATTTAGTGTCAGTTTAAATTCAAAGTAGTTAGTAAAAAATGTTTTTTAGGCTTAGTGTTCAGTTTCAAGGTTATGCTTTATGTATAAGAAATAAGACAAGAAGTACTATTTCTTTTAAGTGCGAAGCTACATAACAGTCTAACAGTACTTTCATTTGAAATTGTAGTTATTTTGACATAAAAAAAGTTACAATCATAGAAAAGGTAAAACGTATGCAACTTGTTTTTGTTGTTTTTTTACTGTGGAAGTTACTGATGTACAAGCAAACTGTTAAAATTTTATTTGACTGTAAAATATAATTCATCAAGCTTTTATTTTTCTATAAGCCTCTAAGCCATCTCAATCCCAAAAGAGTAAACTTTAAAGCTCAGTCTATATAGATAATATAATCTAAAATTAAAAAAGTAACCTCAGAAAGTTTACCAACCAAACAATAACAGATATCCACAGAGCAGTTTCAGGGTCTGAAGTTTTCCTGCATCATCTAAAACAAACAAAAAAATTAAGGTATTCATACTGTATTGTGTAAAAAATTCTAAGTATCTGTTGAATAACAACAAAAACAAGTAAATTTATCTCGACTGCAATCGCTGCTAAAATCTTAGTTACTCACACAATATTCTTTCTAAAAACTTAGAAACTAGACTTTAGAAGCTAACCAAATAATTTATATGATGATTATATATATATATATATATATACACACACATACACATACACAAATAAATAAATAAATATATATATATATAAAGCAAAGGTAAACTTGCTTAAGAGACAGTTTAAGAAGAGGACTGTACTTGAATACAGACTTTTGTGGAATGCATATATCTAGAAGGTTTTGGAATAACATTTAAGCTGCTGACACAGATCTTCATCAAGAACTGAATTTTAATAATAATCTACCATTTGTTCATGATTGTTTAGGCTGTTTAGATTTCACAATATCATGTTAACATGTAGTTTTAATGATTTTCTCATGATCACTATAAAAAAAAAACGTTTTTAAAGCACTAGCTGCATTGACTGTTTCAGAAATTAAAATTAAATACTTTAAAAGAAATTAGAACATTAGAAAAAAATAAGTGTTTGTTTGTTTGTAATTAAACACAAAGCTACACAAAGGGCTATCTGTGCTCTGTCCACCACGTGTATTGAAACCCAGTTTCTAGCATTGTAAGTCCGCAGACATACTGCTGTGCTACTGGGGGACTACATAAAAGTGAAAAGTCATTCACAACATGATACAAAATCAGTACACTATAATAGTTATTTTATTTTTAAAATCTTCAGATACAAAAATAATAGAAGTATGACAAGTGATCTCAGGAACTGACAAAGTTCTTTTGTAAATAGAAATTGGTACGTTTTTCATAAAATGTATGAAGCTAGGAAATTTAAAGCAAGTATTCAATACAGATGATCTACTCAAGCAAATTCAATGAGATTAGCTGCCAGAGATTACCAAAATATCTTTTTATAACTTTTTCTTAACACAATTTTGTGTCGGTTATGCAAATGTAAATATTTTGAAAACATATAATAAACTTGGTTTATAGAATTAACCTTATCATCACAAGTGAGCATCATTCTCGTCAAGTGCACACCTATGCATCAAATTTCAAAATTTAATTAAAAATAACAAATTAACCCTATTTCATCAATTTTTAACCCAAACTATTTTTGAATTGATATTGTGATACTTTGTGACCTTAATTTAGTGTAATTTGTAAAGAAAATGAAAAAAAGTGTTCCATATTAAATCTCCATAAAAAAACTCAATGGAGTTTTGTCAGTAAATAATGAATTTATTGATTGTTTTAGAATCTTTCTGCCCACCTCAAAGTGTAGATATGCATCTGCTGAGAAAGTATTCCTTCAGAATATAATGAAGTATGTCTTGCTTCGCAAGAGATTTTCCTTCTCCGTTAGTGGTTTTATTACTAAAGCCCTTTGGTGGCACCTTTATAAGATGTCACACTATGTGGTCTGAACAATTACTAATGAAGCTCAGCTTTGAAAATTGCTATAGCCATTTAAATGCAACAGAACAGAGCTGATTATAAACTATTTATTGTGAATGTACAGTAAATACAGTGGTTTCAGCAGTAATGTGTGACGGCTCCAAATATTAATTACATGGAATTCCTGAGGGATGAACAAAGCACAGAACTAGGAATTTCTTTTAGGTTTTTTTGAGATGTTCACCTTGTGCCTGAAAATGTCTTTATGACTTTCCTTTAAGACTGGACAAGTTACCACTTTGTATCCTGATAACATAAAAATTAAAATTATTATTATTTTCTTCGAGTCTTTTTTTTGACATAAAAGCTACTAACTTGAAATATTCTGTCGTATAGAATTGTTCAAGGGATGTTTACATTCTAGAACCAGCGTTTTAATCAGTAACTTATTATATAGATATGGTATGATAAAAGTCAGGCCAAACTGGGTATTTGTAATTAAAATGTAAGACGAAAACTATCATTTATAGGCTGGGAGTTTGGTGAAATTAACTGACCTGTTTGACAGTTACAGAGATTTTTTCTGTGATAAAACATCAGGTAAGCTTAGGCAGGTTTTAGTGACTACAATAGGCAGAGGTAAAATATTCCAATGATTCAAATCCTTATATATTGAATATTACTATGTTTATCACACTCAAACAAGACAAACATGTGAAAATATTATTTACTGAAAATAAACTATTAGACATAAATTGATCCTGTTCAAGAAAGTTGTTAGAAAAATCACAATATTTAGTCTGACAAAGGTAACAGTGACACTACTTAGAAAGGTGAGGTCCCAGATCACCATTAAATCTGTCAGTTTTTACCATATTTGTTTATGATTTATAATCTGAAGTGGTAACTGGCAAAATAAATATGTTAATGGTAACTGGCAAAATAAATATGTTAATGGTAACTGGCAAAATAAATATGTTAAAGAATATAAACTAAAATGAAAATGGTATGATAAACAGAATAAAACTTTCTGATCAACAACAACAGAAAAAAACTTAAGTTTTGTACTGAAAGGAAATATTATAAATATTTGTTTCTAATCAAGTGTTTCACAACAAAATTTTGGAAATATCAAAAAAAAAAACCCAAAAATTATAGAAACACAAAATCAAATTATGTGAGTTTTTTAAAGCCAATAGTTACTATTTTGTAACTTTGTACTAAGTTTCAAGAAATTTTAAGTATTTCCACTTTGGTCCACAGAATTATGAAAATAAGTGTATGAAATTTAATCAATGCACACTCCAGAAAGGCAACATTGCATGCATAAGGAAAACAAACAAACAAACAAACAAAACTCACCAGAAGTTCGAAGTATTCGAGGTAGTTTTGTGGTTAAGAGGTGAAAATCTTCCTCTAAAAGGTCCAACATAGATTGATCACCAGGTGTAAGGTAACAAGCCTGAAAGTTCTTCAATACTTGAATACTTCTGTTGGAAACTTCCTCAAAATCATCATTGGCTAGCATAAGCAACACTTCCACAAGAGGGGACAGGCATTCTTTCAAAGATCTTTTTTAGACAGAAAGTAAAGTTCAGAAAATTCTAACCTACACTAATTTCCAAAACTTTTTAATTACATTATGTCTATAAAACTGTGTCAGAGGCCATATATTGACTTCATTTTCATTATGTAAAAGAAACATTATCATTAGATCATACTATTATTCATGATGCTTACAAAAGTCACAATTTTGTAATTTTCATACAGAATTACCATAAAAAATTATATACTAACTTAACAAATAATGCCTTTCCCAATAGTGTGGCAAAGATTCTATTTATCAATTACTCCAGGAAGTTAACACAATCATATGAATTAACCTAGTTTAACCCTTCACATCCGAACCTGTCTCTTACTGCGTAAAATTCAAATTTTAGTTTAAGTAACTTTATGAGCAACGTAAGTCAATAAACTTGACTAGAAAATGTAGTTGAAAATTCAAATTTGTATGTTATCTAAGTTTAACTTTTTAATTTCAAAAAGTAATATTTAAAAAATTCTCAATTTTCATTTTTCAGTGAACGAGCTCTGATTTCTCCCTTTCAGAAGTTGCTAAAATCAAAAATATGCTACTCCAGTTTCCAACTAATTATAAGCACAAATACACATAATTCCAAGGATGAATCTAAAACCTGAACTTTCTACCTTCTTGATTTGTTGAGATTTCAATAAACTTGTCACACCCATAAGACAAACCCCATCCATCTCTATCTATCTGACTTTAGATTGTTTGCTAATCAACTTTACATGGCTGATGGACATGTTTATAATCAATAGAAATAGCAAATTCTACTCTATATAAATCTTACCAGTTGGTCTAGTTTTCCTCCATATACCATCAGTTAGTAGAATTGTTTGGTTTGTGTTAATCAAATTATGCAGCTTTCAATACTGAAGGATTTTATTTAATCCTATTTATAGATTAACACTTTCAATACGGGCTTCGTCAATTTGACCGACACCGTGACTTTTTGTACTCGTTTAAAGCCTTTATAGATTTAATACTTATAACTCTCAATATATGGGTATATCTTCACAAAATTTGGCAGTCTCTCAGTTAATCTTACAAGTCTTTCACGTACAAAGTCATATTTCTTAGTGAAGTATTTTTAATAAAATAAAATAAATATTTGTCCATGAATATATTGAGTATTTGTTTTGAATAGTCTGTGTGCAAAGTAATTTTCATGTTAAAATTAAAAAACTTTTCCTCATCTCAAATTTCCTTTGTGTAATCCCTAAAATCTCCTAAATGCATTTCAAGTTTTTTTCAGTAAAACTTTATAGTTTATCTGTTATTTTTTCTATCCTATCTCAAAATGGAATTGGTCAATTTGACCAACTCTGTAACCACCTAAATAAAAAAAATTGTAATAAACCTAAATTAACCATTCTTTCTTTCTAGAATGACTTCAAATTATAACATGAAACTACATTCATATATCTTAAGTAGCTCTAAGTTCATAACATTATAGATCTATTTATAATTAAATTTTATTGTTTTATTGCCCTTTTAACTGTGTCTAACTACTATTCACAGCATTATAAGTTGTAAATTATTCGGGGAACATGCAGCTCATGTTACGCTATTGAATTATTATTATTACTTATTTTACCTAATCTAGTCTTAAATAACTTAAAAAGATCCATATTTTTAGATTTTGGTTACTTTTACAATAATAAATAAAGAATAAATATGAAAAACAAGAAAAAAAGCACTTACCTAATCTTCTTTTTTTCTTGCTGTCGAGTTTCAAAGAGTGTTAACCCTAATTTTTCATACTATAGATAGTATTGCATTTAATTTTTATTTCATTAAATAATGCACCAAAGAATATAGATTAATAATATGCAAAAGGTTGAGAAATTCCCATACCTCTCAAAATTTTTCTATCTTTCTAACTATGCGACAAGAGCAGTTACAAATTCATCCAAGCTAGTTGTTAACATTCCCATGGGAAGGAATCTTGTACTCTGATTGAAATTGAGGCTTATCTGTTCAGAACACAATGTTATACAATACGTAATTTGATAGACGAAAACCTTGACTTTCTATTGGTTATAGGTAATATATAATGAAACATAAGAAAGAACTTTCAACAATTCTTATTTTCTATGCAATAGCTCTGCAACCAAACAAAATTGAAGATTATAAAAATTATGGTATGTCTGAGCAGTAATGATTTTATAGAGTGTAATTCACGTTTAATTTCATTCTTTTTCGAGGGCTGGTGTATAAAATAGGGATGAGGACATGCTAAGAGAAAATGTGTCATGTGGGTCACACTAGTGGAAATTCAGGATTTTTTTTTTTTATTGTTTTGTAGAATTAAGAACCTAAAACTTGTATACTATTAAAATATGGATCATTATCAATAATTTTATACTATTGTAATTGGTATAACATAAATAAAAAGTAGTTTAATAAAATGTTGAATGTACGACACTAAAACCTTGTGTCATGAATAGTAAAGGATACCCAAGGCAATAGGGTTAAACTCCAATAAATTATGTTTAACAATACAAAGCATCAATCTTCCGAAATACACAAATACTTTTCCAAAAGATCAGAATGATATTAACCCTATCTCCACAGGGACCATTTACTGCACATGACACAAGGTTCACTAGGCACATATGGATGTATGTTCCCTGAGTGATTGACAACTTATAATGGCACTGACAGTAGTTAGACATGATTCAAAGGGGAATAAAAAGGCAATAAAACAATAAAATTTAATTATAAATAGATGTATAATGTTACGAACTTAAAGCTACTTAGGATAAACGAATGTAGTTTTATGTTATAATTTGAAATCATTCTAGAAAGAAAAGAAGGTTAATTTTGTTGTTTTTGCAATTTTTTTTTGGTGGTTACGAGGTTGGTCAAATTGACTGATCCCATTTTGAAATAGAGTAGAGAAAATAACATATAAACAATATGGATTCAGTGAAAAAAAACGTTTGAAATGTATTTAGGAGATTTTAGGGTTTAGACAAAGGAAATTTGAGATTTTTGAGATGATGAAAAGTATTTTTAATTTTAACATGAAAATTACTTTGCACACAGACTAGTCAAAACAAATACTCAATATATTCATGGACAAATCTTTATTTTATTTTATTAAAAATACTTCACTAAGAAATATGACTTTTTGTATGTGAAAAAGTTGTAATATTGACTGAAAGACTGTCAAATTTCGTGAAGATATACCAAATATATAAAGAGTTATAAGTGTTAAATTTATATCAACTTTAAATGAGTACAAAAGGTCACGTGACTCGGTTAAATTGACCAACCCCATGTTGAGAGAGTTAACCACATTTTTTTAGATTCAGATGTTAGTAGTTCTATTAAGCAAAATTTAAAAATAGATAAATAAGTATTACAATTACCCTGATATTTCACAAGCAACAAAATTATCTATTCTGACTAAAAAATTAGATCAATTTTATTCCCATAGATATAAAAATACAACTGTTAGTCACTAGACTGTAAGTTAACTCTCGCTATTAAATCGGTCAAGTTGACCGATCTCATAACCAAGTTATAGTTTTCATATCATAACTTTTAATACACTTTGTATACCTTCACAAAACTTGACAGACGTTTAGTAAACATTACAAGTCTTTTGTACACAAAAAATCAGATTTTTTTAATGAAAAATTTTTGCTAAAGATTTGTCTGTGAATATATATAGTATTTCAGTATAATAATTCGAGAGCTAACTGATATCCATGTTAAAATTAAAAATAATTTTCTTCATCTCAAAAATCTCAAATTTTATTTTTGTAATCTTTAAAACCTATAAAATAAATTTCAAATGTTTCTTTTCAGTAAAACTTTATATTTTATCTGTTATTTTCTCTACCCTAACTTTACACAAGGTTAATCATTTTATTGACCTCATAACCACCAAAAAAATCTAAATTACCTTTTTCTTCCTAGAATGACTTCAAATTGTAATATGAAACTACATTTGTTTATCTTAAATAGCTATACACTCAAAATAGTATACTTAAATTTTATTGTTTTATTACCTTTTGAACCCTGACTAATTACAATTCGTGCCATTATAAGTTTTAAATTACTTAGCAAATGTGCAGCTCACATTATGCTATTGAATTAGATTATGGACATTATGCTTACGAGCATACCTCGTGAAAAAAATTTATTATATTATTATTATTTATTTCACCTAATCTAACCTTAAATAACATAAAAAAATTCCTATCTTTAAGTTTTAGTTACATTTACAACAATAAATAAAAAATACACATGAAAAACAAGAAAAAAGTATTTACCTGGGTCTTTTATTTTTGCTATTGATGACACTTAATCCTACTTTTTTATACTAATGGTAGTACTGCACTAAATTAAATAATTAAATAATGCACCAAAGAACATAATAATAATGTGCAAAAAAACATATAATAACCCATAACTATCATAATTTTTCTTACTATGCAACAAGACTCGTTAAAACTTCATCTAAGCTCATCAATGTGTTTCCCATTGGAATCAAGCTAGAGCTGAGAGCTAAATTGAAAATTCTCTTTACAGAAAACAACATAATATAATGTGTCATTTGATAGATGAAAATCTTGGCTTTCTATTGGTTATAAATAACACAGTATTGAAAGGCAGAGAGAAGTACTGGTAATTTCTCAAAGAGAGGCTGTGAAAGGTAAGCATGGCAAGAGGGGTCTATTGTCTATTTCATGGCTCTGTAACCAAATAAGATTGAAGGCTATGAAAATTATGCCTTGCCTGAGCAATGGCGATATTATAATAAGTAATTTACGTTACATTTTGTACTTCTTGGAGGGGTGGTAAATAAATTAGAGAAGAGGGGATGCCTAAAGAGCAAATGTCACAATTTTCACATTAGAGGAAATTCTAGATTTTTTTTTAAATATTGTCTTATAACATTAAAACTTAAAATTTATATAATATTAAAATATGGATTATTAATTAAATTTTTATGCTAAATGTATTGGCGTACCATGAAAAAAAAAGTAGTTTAATTAAATTTTGAATGTAACTCACTGAAACCTTGACATGCACAGAAAAGATGTTTGTGGAGAGTGGGTTAACAAAGCATTGAACTCACTCTGTGCAATCTGAGTAACATCAATGTTCAGTCACTCAGAAAAAAGATAATTTATTTAACTTACTCCTTACATTCCATAAGCAATTTGGCTGCCCAGTCCACAACAGCAAATCGAACTTTCCAGTGTTCATGAGAAACAAGTTGACTGACCCTTCTAACCAGAATTACCAACTTTTGACTTGTGTCTTTAAACCACTCTTGTGTTCGACATACAACGGGTATATTGTAGCTTTTATCTGAAATGAAAAACCAGTAATGAAAAATTTAACTTCTCCAGCTTGAACACAATCATACTTATTTTGATTCAAAAGATGAATTATTAAACAATAAGTGGCTTATGACCAGTTGCATCCATTACCCTGTGGACTACAGCCTTAACCCATTGACTGTGGCTGCTCTAAATATTAAGTGTACCAGCACACTCGCATTCAATTGCTGGAGGCGATACGTACCCTATATAGCGAATGAGCTGTCATTGAGTTAATAATCTCAAATATTTCTTAAAGTGATGGGTGATAAAATTAAGCAATTGAAATACATTGATTTATTTTATAAAGCTGACAAAAAATATTTTAAATTTTGAAGATTAAACAAATTTTACAGTAAGCATCTAAGCATGATCCATTTTTCTTACCTATTTGTTCAATGGATGCACCTTCAACATCTGCTGTTTGGTTATGATCTCCCATAACCAATACTACAATATCTGTCCAAGTTCGAAGTGCACACTACAAGTTTAAAGAACAGGTTTAATCCCTCTCCTGATATAAATATTTTTATTTTGATAGACTTAAAACTATCAAAAATTATGATTCTAAATTGGTGATTGTCAATAAAAAAACTTTAACTGCAAAGTTTTGAATAAGACAGGATATTCAAGAATATTCTTACTACTGTATAGAAAATATAACAACCAAAACAAAAAGAAGCAAATATTTTTTCACAAGTTTCAAATATTTTTTACAAAAACATCTTGTATATAATTTTTTCTTTATTTTCACACTTTTATAGACTTCCTGTATTGTTGCACCATACTTTTCCCACTTGCATCAGAACTAGATATGCCAATTTTTTATTCTATATTTTCAGCATAATCTGGAAATAAATAACTGGTGAAGAAAAGTTTAAGATAAATCAAATAATAACACTTTCATTATCACAACAGGTCAAAGACAAATTTAATGTATATAATACTAATGACATAGGAAATTGGAATGAATTTAAGTCCCTGGGAGTTAACTGTATTAAAATTATCCTTACAGAAACAAACCAAGAATCACAAGCTAAGACTTCAAGTAACACGATCACTTGATACATAAACTAGTACTTCAGACTACATTTTCAGTTACTGCATGTTTAAAAGGCAGTCTACCAAATGTACTTGAAACATTAGTATATACACAGAAAATAAATCATAACAATTAATTCAAGATACATCAGTGAGAGAGATAAACCAATGATGTAAACTACAAAATCACAACAACTAATTCAAGGTACATCATTGGGAGAGAGATATACCAATGATGTAAACTATATGTCAGTGAAAAAAATGATGACACTGTAAATAACAGGCTTATTTAAACCTATAAACAAAGACAACCTAAAGTACTGAACTACGTTCTGTATACAACAGCAGTGAAAAAAAAAAAGCTACATTATATTCATTACTGAGGCTAAGATACATAAGATAATCATCTTTGTTAATGTTGGTTCTTTCTGGCTATTGGTTCTCAACATGAATTACTCAAAGAGCTTTTGAAATGTCACAATAATTATCTGAAGCTTAAAAACATACAGTGTAGTTTCTGATGTTGACACCAGATTTATGTTGATTTTGTTCCATCATGCACAGGAACTGCTGTTTATTGCTGCAGCAGCAATAACCCATGCACTAAGCCATACTCATTACTGCTAAGGTGCCAAAACTTTATCAACAGTTTGATATGATCATGTAGCATGACAGTACTGAAAACTAGAGTAGCCAGCACTGGATCATTTGACCATTAATTCTCTATCAATGTTTTTTTTTCATAATGCCCATGATGAAAAGAATGACAAATACATCAGTTGCAGAACACTGGCACATTCTGCTTTTAGGGTTTAGGCAGTTCAACTCCAAGAACTGTTCAGCAAGCCTATTTGTTTCAGTGACTATCATATTCATAAACAGTTTGCAAATGTCGACTGGAAAGGCCTCCAGTAGCATACCTGCTACCACTTGAGGCTGTGCTGTAAAAGAAATATCAGTTGGACTAACATATATAGCCTGTACAGTCTGTCATCCATCAACTGATGCTGGTATTCCAGTGTCACTGTTAGTGTCTGGATTGGAGGTGTCAGCTCTGGACAAATCAGTTTGAATGTTTATCTGATCTGTACAATCCAGGACTCATTCATCATCAGACTCAGAATCAATAGGCTCATAATTAATAACCCTATCTACAACATCCTCCTCTGGACCAGATTCTTGTAAAATACACTCAGACTAAAACATTTGCACAATCCTGCCTTCTTGTAGCTATAATGATAATCAAAACCAAGCACTGCAGAAATCTCTGGTCATGTGACTTGAAAATTTAGTGAACAATTTTTTGTGTCATTCACAAGAGAGTAGGACACACATAATCACTGTACAGTGCTAACGGACTGTTTACCTGTATGCTCACGCACAGTTATAGCCTCTACGCTGATTGATGTGTTAATGCGTCAGTAGTGCCTGACAAATAGAAATGATTGATATTTTAACACATCATTAGTGGCAAATGTATTAAAGATTGGTGTGTGCAAAAACTTTGCTCACGTGGAAAGTACTTATAGTATTAAAACATGTAAGATCCACTAATTTAAGCATGTAAATGTGTCTAGCAATAAACAACCAACAGCGGGTAAAGCTAACATAGGAATAACTTGGTAGAAAAATTATAATATTTTATTCTTTAGAGAACTACATGAGATTCTTATGGTGGTTCATTCCCCTTTCTATATTTTAGAAGCTGGAAAATATGTATGTTAAAACTGTCTTATTTCAAAACTTATGAAACAAAGAGACTGACCTGACATGCAAGTTCAAACTTTCATAATCAAACTGTTAAAAAAAAACATTCCTTCATTAATACAACAAAATTTGGCTACATTAAATACCTAATATTCATAATCCTACCTTGAGTCCACTGAAAACTCTTTAGAAGAAATAGACTTACCACAAAAACGGTCTGAAAAACAAAACAAAAACAATAACTTAAAGCACAATAATTGACTTAATGTTGTAAATTAAAATCTTATTTTGTCTTTCCTTTCTAAGTAATCATAACACAGATTTTACAAACAATATTTACTTGTACCTGTTTCTTTAAAGCTTTATACATGGATAACACATGTTAATTAAAAAATAAAATAAAATTCAGGACCTTTCTCAACCAAACTGTCATTTTCAAGGACCTAATTTACTGATTTTAATAAAACATGAACTCCATCAAAATTAAATAACTAAGGTTTTATTATATTTAACAAAAATACATTAACAGTTATACAAATGTTCTAGCAATAACAGCAACATCTGAACAAAGAAAGTCTATGAAACAAGCCATTAAAATAAATTTGAAATGACAATATGTTGCTTAACAAAGTAATGACAAATTCTACATCATTTACAGTCCCCTATGTAATAATTGTAATAATTTCAGTTTAATAACAACTGATAAAGCCCTGTGTCTTTCTCTCAAATACTGAACCTTGGCCATAGCTAAAAATTCCTCTATCATGTAACTAAAGAAAAAAAAATGATTGAACATATCAATTTCCAATAGAACAACAAGTCAACTTTTGTCTGTCTAACTGATGAGCATACATGTCACCATGCCAACAAAGCAAAGACTCAGGCTCATATTGTTACCAAGACCACTGACATATTGTGAATTAACAAAGCTTATATCAATGACATAGATGATGGGATAGTCAATAAATTACTTAAATTTGCAGATGATAACAGGTCTTGGGTGTTGCTAGCTGTGAAGAGGATGCTGCTGATTTACAAAAGGATTTAGATCATTTAGTGAGGTGGGCAAATAAATGGCAAATGGGTTTTAATTATACTAAATTCAAGATAATGCATGTGGGTTATCATAATTTGAATTATAAATATAATTTGGATGAGAAGAACCTTAATAGTGTTATGAAGGAAAGGGATCTTGGTATAATAGTCGATCAGTCTCTAAAGCCATCCAAGCAGTGTGCTGTTACTAGTGGTAGAGCAAATAGGATTTTAGATTGTATCTACAGAAATATTTAATACAAGTCTAAAGAGGTTATTTTTTCATTGTATTGGTCACTGGATAGGCCACATTCAGAATATTGTGTTCATTATTTGTCTCCTTACCTTAGGAAAGACATTGAATTGTTGGAAATGTATCAGAGAAGGGTTACTAGAATGGTGCCCAGAATGAGAGTTTGGTGGGGGGGATCTGATTAATCTGTTTAAGATTGTAAAGGAAATTGAATGTTGATATATCATCTTTTTTATATTTAAGAATGAAAATAATAGGACTAAGGGACACAAATATAACTTTTGGCAAGGTAGGAGTCATCTTCAGCTAAGACAGTTTTATTTTCTAACAGGATAATTGGCCTTTGAAATGGATTGCCTTCAGATGTTGTAG